TAAACGGATTCATATATGGTAATCAATAAAAATTACCCCTAATAATTTTCTTCCTAATTACGCTTATGTATTTGTAAAGATAATTATACTATTATGTCTATAAAATATTCTATAATATTCTAACAACATGGTATAGAGATGATAACTTTTGGTTTAGGAGAATTTTGATTGAATTACTTAATAATTTTCTGCCATTCTCATTCAATAAATAGGTGAATATAAAAAAGTTAAAAGACTGATTCTCAACAATTTACAATGATCAAGTCTAATATCTTTCTAATTACAACCATATAATCTAATTATAGTAAGATATAAAATATACAAACTTTAAATATTTTTTAATATAAAAGATACAGACTGTATAGATTAAATGTATTTTTAATCTATGGCAACATCCCTCTTAAATTGATGCTAGTCGATTAAGAAGCATCAATTTGCTAAGTAAAAATTGATGATGTTGTCGAGTAAGTGACTTAATAAACATATCAACAATCTGTAAAATTGTGGAAACATGTGGAAGAGAACATGATTACGGACAGGCTCTTGAATATAATGGCAATCCACTTCAATATACTTGGTACGCTCACGATAGACTAGATTAGTAGTAGTAATCTGAATAGCACTTGTATTATCTGCATAAAAGAAGAGTAGGAGTAGATTGAGGAAATTCGAACTCAGTTAACAACCCTCTAAGCCAAGAAATCTCTGAACATGCAACAAACATGGCACAGTACTCAGATTTAGTAGAAGATTGAGAGACCCGATCTTGTTTCTTACTCTTCCATGATATTAAGAAATTCCCAAGAAACATACACCAACCTATGACAGATCAATGAATATTTGGACAACTAGCTCAATCCACGTCGCTAAAAGCACTATGTTGCATAAAAGATCCAGTAAAAAAGAATAAATCTCGACATAGAGAATCACAAAGATATTTGATGATATGAGAACTGTAACCAAGTGAAGATGTTGCTGAGAGTGCAGAAACTGACTAACTTGTTAGATAGCAAAGAAGATGTCAGGTCTAGTAATAGTCAAATAGTTTAAGCTCCCAACTAATTGTCAATACAAATATTGATAAGAAAGTAGCTCTCTCTTTTCTGTATGGTACTTAACATTTATTTCTAGAGGAGTATTAATTGATAAAGAATCCTGAAGATCAGCCAAAGAAATGAAGTCTTGAGCATATTTATGCTGATATAAGAATATAGCGGAAGAGTTAGAGTGAACTTCTAACCCTAAAAAAATATGTAAGCTAGCTAAGATCCTTCATATGAGATGAATCACAGAGATGATGCTGAAGTTAAGTAATCAATAAATAATTTGTTCTCGATATAATAATATCATCAATATAGACTAGTAGAAGTACAATTTCAATAAAAATTTTATGCAGGAACAAAGAGAAATCATATTGACTTTGCACAAACTTCAGAAGTAGATGGAGAGAACAAACTAGAAGGAGGTGTCATATATATATCCTCTTTGAGATCACCATGTAGAAAAGTATTTTTGACATCCATTTATTTAAGTGGCCAACCTTGTGAAGCAGCAATGGTAAGAAGTATTCGCATGGTAGTCATTTTAGCCACTGGAGCATATGTGTCTCCTCATAGTCCACCTCATACTCTTATCGATTACCAAGAGCAACCAACCTAACCTTAGGAGTTCTATTAGAGCAAAGTTTGAGTGAATAAACCCACTTACATCCAATATGTTTGACTGTAGGTGGACATAGAACAATATTCCAATTATGATTATCCCGAAGAGCTTGAAGTTTCTCTTGCATTGCTTGCTGCCAACACTCATGCTTAACTACTTGTAAGTAAGAAGATGAAACCATGATAAAAGATAAAGAAATACTAAATGATATATGATAAGAGTCATACCAATTAAGAGGACGAGAGATCTTGATAGAGCATCTCAAGGGTGGTGGTGTAGGATCAGATGGTGGATCTGGATCAGAAAGGGACAATTGCGAATGACATTGTTCATGCACATACCCAAGCTTGAACTGATGAGGAGAAGAAGGTAAATAATCAAAATTAGGAAGAATAACTACATCAGAAAATGACTGATCACGAGTGTGAAAGAAAATTTCATTTTAGAAAAAAAATAATATTACGAAAAACAAAAAGTTTCTTAAAAGAAGAATCAATGCAAACAAATCTTTGTGATTTGTATTGTATCCCAAAAATGTACATTTGACAGATTGAGTATAAAGTTTATGACGATTATGAGGAGACAAGTGAACGAAGCGCACACAACCAAATATATGTAGATGCCTATAGTGAAGATGTGTTAATAAAGACGAAAATAAGGAGACTCAAAGTTTAGAGTTTGAGTATGTAGTTTAAATAAGATAAGTTATTAAAGATAAAACTTCTACCAAAAATTGAGGTAGAATAGAAGATTCAAGTAATAATGTGAGTAATTTTTAAGAGATGATGATTATTTCGTTATGACGCACCATTTTATTGAGGTGTATGCGGACAAGACGAAAATAAGGAGACTCAAAGTTTAGAGTTTGAGTATGTAGTTAAGATAAGTTACTAAAGATAAAACTTCTACCAAAACTTGAGGTAGAATAGAAGATCCAAGTAATAATGCGTGAGTAATTTTTAAGAGATGATGATTATTTCGTTGTGGCACACCATTTTATTGAGATGTATGTAGACAAGAACGTTGTGAGAGTATACACTTTTCATTTAAAAATTCATGTAACGCATTAGACATGTATTCTCCAACAAAATCAAATCGAAGAGTTTTAATGGAATCAGAAAATTGAGTTTCAACAAATACAACAAAAGTTTTAAAAATTAAAAAGACTTCAGATTTGAAACGAAGAAAATAAATCTAAGTAAACTGACTGTGATCATCAATAAATATCACAAAATAGTTATAATATGCATGAGAAATAATAGGTGTGATTCTCCGTACATCATTATGAATAATTTCAAACCATTTATCTGCATGACCACCAGCAATAGGAAATGGAAGAATTTTATTCTCTCCTGATTTACAACCTGTACAACTAAAAGAAAGACTAAAGAATTGATTTTTATTACCTAATAATCCAGAATTCAACATATAAGACATTACAGTTGAATTAGAGTATCCCAAACGTTTGTGTCACACCTCACTATTATTAATAGCAATAGAGTAAGGTAAAAAAATATTACTAGGAATAGAAATATGTAGAGGAAACAAGCGTCCAACTTTAGGCTCTTTTACAATCACCGCCCCCAATACCTGATTCTGCACACAACAACCATCACGAGAGAATATACATCATAGTTATCATCAATTAATTGACCCACTGAAAGAAGATCATCAGAAAGTCTTGGTGATAGATAGACATTGTTAAAAATTTGAGTAATATCACCGACCGCACTAATGGACAGATTGTTGGCATTTGCAACTTGAATAAGTTCTGAACTATAATATGGACAAACATTTTCTGTAAATTAGCTAAACTAGTCATGATTTGATGCAGCAGAATCAACAAACCAAGTCTAGCTATAAGGTTGAAACTATCATTTGTTGCACCATTTCAGGAGTAAGAACATTTTGATTAATCGATATAGTCAATGACCTAGTTTGAGCCTGATAATTGGAAGAGCTGGCAACAATTGCTTGAAAAGTAGTGGTCTGACAATTTTAAGGATAAATAGGACATTCTTTGATTATATATCCTTACTTTTTGCAATAATTACAAAATTTCTTAGTACAATTTGAAGCAATATGTTCATAATTCTTGCAACTAAAACATTGAATCTCACTCATATCTCTTCCCTTGCTTTTTTCCTGAGTTGAAAATATCATGTGTGTTGTGGTCATCTGCCCTTGTTCAAGAGTAGTTTGTGTAAGAAGTTATTTTTTGCAAATTAATTCATTGAAACATACATCCAATGAGGGAGGAGGATGGTGATTCATTAGATTAGAACAAGTATTTTCAAAATTTGATCGTAATTTCATTAAAAATTAATCACGCTTGCTAATCTCATGAACATCATGAATAACTAAAACATCAGTAAGAGAATTTTTAGACACATCTGCACAAATTATATCAGAAAATTCTGCCTATAAATTTTGAAAACCAGAAAAATATTCCTGAATAGATAGATTCATCTGAGTATAATTTGCAATATCACACTCTAACTGAAATCTTCTGGTTAAATTTGTTTGGTTGTACAGTTTCTTCAAATACTTTCACATTATCTGTGCAATTTTATAGGAAAAAAATCAATTGAGATTCACATGACCCAATGATCCAACAAATCACCCTAACATCCTTGATCTTCCATTGCTCCATCAAGGTGTCCCCATAATTCTTTTCCAGTGATTTATTATCGAAATTAAAATTTCCATGTTGAATAATTCTTTCCCGTTAATTTAACTCAAAGTTCAAATTTATCAGCAAAAATTTATACTATATAAAACAGTTCAAAATTAACTCAAATATAGAGAGATAAACAACCCAATATAATTGAAAGATTACCAAAATACGTGAGTTTCCTCTCTACCCAAACTTGATCTGCAACCTCAACCAAAGGGAAGTAAAAAATATCGCTTTGATGAAAATCACACAGATGAAGACTCACAATCTAAAATAGCCTAAGACTCCAATAACATCAAGAATAATAAAAAAAATCATAAAACTCTATGACTAGAGCTCTAATACCATGATAACTTTTGATTTAAAAGAATTTTGATTGAATAATTTGATAATTTTCTGCCATTCTTTCATTCAATAAATAGATGAATATATAAAAGTTAAAAAATTAATTTCCAGCAATTTACAATGATCAAGGCATATAACTTTTTACTTACAGTTATATAATCTAATTATATAAAAATATAAAATATACAGACTCTAAATGCTTTTTAATATAAAATATACAGGTTGTATAAATTAAATGCATTTTTTATATATGGCAACAAGAGATATGTTGGAAAAAAAAATCTAATGAGCCTTTTTCATTCGGATATATTACTAGGTTGGAGATAAAGCAGTCTTCTGAAGGGTCTCATCATGTTCCTGGAATCACAGAAGCCAAGGTTGATAACATCAAGGAAGTTTGGAATGTTCTGCAAGCTGGCAGCAATTCTAGAGCTGTTGGATCCAATAATGTGAATGAACATAGTAGTCGATCACACTGGTATTGCTTATTTTTCTTGCTTAACCATAAAACAACATTTGATTTTTTCATTGCTTCTTACTCACGCATTGCCAGAACTGTTTCTTCACATTTTAGCATGCTCTGCATAATGGTGAGAGCCAAGAATTTGATGAGTGGTGAATGCACCAAGAGCAAGCTTTGGCTTGTTGATTTGGCAGGCAGTGAGAGACTTGCAAAAACTGATGTACAGGGTGAACGGCTCAAGGAAGCTCAAAACATTAATAGATCCCTTTCAGCTCTAGGAGATGTAATACATGCTTTGGCAACAAAAAGTAGTCATATTCCATACAGGTTCACATCTTTTATCGCACTTATATTAACTTTAAGAGGCATCAGTATGCTGCTTAACAACATTTGTCGCTTAATCTTCAGGAACTCAAAGTTGACACATTTACTTCAAGATTCGTTAGGTAAATTTAGTATTTCCTAGTATTTTTATCAATTTTGTATTGTAGTGATGACTAATTTTGTCAGGTTTGCCTAAATATTGAAACCTGAATTTTGCAGGAGGTGATTCAAAAACTTTAATGTTTGTGCAAATTAGTCCTTCGGAGCAGGATCTGAGTGAAACTCTGAGTTCACTAAATTTTGCAACTCGAGTTAGAGGTGTTGAATTAGGTCCTGCAAAGAAACAAATGGATACGGGTGAGCTTCAGAAGATGAAAGCAATGGTAAGGCTGGTGATTTGAGCTGGAAACATGTTTTATTCATGAACTTCAGATTTCCAAAAATGAATTCCTTTTGAGACATCAGGCACTGATTATGATTTGTTTTCTGTTTTACAAATCATTTAATTACTCTATAAAGCTCGAAAAAGCACGGCAAGAATCTAGATCCAAAGATGAGACTCTAAGGAAGCTAGAAGAAAACTTACAAAACCTGGACAGTAAGGCCAAAGGAAAGGACCAAATTTACAGGAACCAACAAGAAAGGATTAAAGAACTTGAAAGTCAAGTTGACTTAAAAGCTACTTTGCACAGCCAGTCAGAGAAACAAGTATCACAACTTTCTGATAGATTGAAGGGGAAGGAAGAGATTTGTTTTGATCTCCATCAAAAGGTTGATTTTCACTTGAGTTATGATTGATATTTATTATTGATAGGATACAATATGTTTGGGTTTTTCTTACTAATTATCAAGTTGTTATCCATGCCTAATTGACTACAATCTGATGAAGGTCAAGGAACTGGAAGCCAAGCTTATGGAGAGACAACAATCAGAGTCTTCAATATACCAACAGAAGGTTTAAAGATCTTTCTTTACTTTATTCAACTTTCTCATCCCCCGGGCTTCTGTTGAAAGTACTTATTAGTTCTGGTTTTTGTTGGAGTTTCTCGATCATCTTTCCTGTTTACTTGATTGTCAAAATTTTGAGAGAGAAGCTGAAAGCTATTTTTAAACAGGTTAGAGATCTTGAGAACAAGCTGAAAGAGAAAGTGCAAGAGTCTGAGTCCAGTTCCTTCACCCTTCAGCAAAAGGTTGTGGAAACTTGATAAGAAATGTTTAAAGACGATTAAATGGCCTAATTTGAGGCTAATTTCCTCTTGCTTTTTCTGGTTCAGATTAAGGAGCTTGAGATGAAACTGAGAGAGTCGGAACAAACATCAGAATGTGTTTTACTTCATCAAAAGGTTATTTTCTAATCATTCAATATTTATATATATACATATATACACACAGATACAAGGTTGTCAATTTGGTTATCAATGTCTAATGATGACAAAATGGGGAGATTGAGGTGAAATCTTTACTTTTCTGGTTCAGATAAAGGAGCTTGAGGGGAAACTGAAACAATCGGAAGAGAATTCTGAACCTGTTTTACTTCATCAAAAGGTTCTTTCCTAAATTTCCACATCAATAAGTTTCTGATAGTAACTGCAGAATCACTGTACATCACATGTACTAATTGATATTTTAAAGAATATATTATCTGTAAATGTGGATAGAAAATGTGTTTCTTAGTGTTTTCTTGAAAGAATTTATTATAAATATTTCTTTTTTTCTACAATATGACTGGCTTTCCCTTTTCACGTACCAAATATGTTCCATTCTCTTGCTAATTTTTCATTTTCTTTTTCTCTCATTTTCAGATTACAGTTTCTGTTTTCTAGAACAAAAACCATTTTCACCTTTTTAATCTTCACTCGTAGGTAACTGGCTAGCTCAAACTTAGGTGGAGAACTTTGAGTTAATGCATTTTGAAAGAAATCGATTAATATTGTGCTTTCATACAGAAAATGGACTAAGGTACAAAAATTTGTTTGACATCTTGTATCAGATTAAAGAGCTTGAAGACAAGTTGAAGGAGCAGGAGCAGCTGATGTTGCAGCAGATGCAAACTTGCAACTTCCCTGATGGCTTAAGGGCTACTCCCAGTGAAGGTAAAGCTTGTGGTAGAGATGAATGTTTCATCAGAGATATTGAGCCACAAGTTCTGGGTATTTCGAATTCAATTAACCGGCCTATGAGTCAAGGCTCAGCATTGCCAAGAAGAAATGCTTCTCTTCATGAGACAAGAAAAAGGGAATCTAGAAGTGGAGATTCAGAAAACAATATGTTGACTACTTTGAACGATAAGAAGATTAGGAAATCTGATCCACCCAAGATTGCTAGGGTAATGAGAACAACAACAACAAAGCCAGTCTCCTCTGCTCAAGGGCCTATGACTCATAAAAGGAATGTCAAGGATCAGGCTCCAGGAGCTAAGGAGAGGGATACGAAGAAAAGGATTTGGTCAAGATAGGTAACTGAATTGACTAAACTCATTAGTTGCTGTTTATTTAGAGCTTTTACATATTTTAGTTTGCATATATGTGTATATACGGGGCTGATCATATCCTCCAGTAGAAGTGAAATAGACTCATTGAACTGAGAGAAAAAGTACAGTTCCTTGCTAAAAGTTGAGGATTTTATCACTACAAAATGATGTCATTTCAGGCACTTCCCAAGATTATAGCTAGCATTTAACATGCATGATTCTGATTTATTTGCTTGGCAAACTCCTGTATATCAGAGACAGCTTTGAACGTGTGAAAATATTTGCACCTCTAACATCATTCCATGAATTAATGGCCAAAAATTGTTGCAGAATCAGTTTGTAAGAATTTCATTAATTATTGACTGCTAGCCATAAAATTATTCTGAAGCTGAACTCCTTTTAGAAGTTCTAAGTCAGACCCATGTACATTCTACTCTCTTGTTGAGTAGTTAGTGTGGACGAACAAGGAGTTGAGTTGAGTTGAGTTGAGCCAAATAGTTAATCTTTTGAGTCGTGTTAAGTTGAAGTTCGATTTGAGTATTCTCTGTTATGTTTGACAGAGTTTGACATTGATTGAAGGAAAGATTAGCAGGAAACCGAGCTTGAATGAACTTGAATTCAAGTTCAAATAAGCTTGAAGTATATACCAAATCTATCATGAAAGAAGCTTGTCTGACATTTTATTTACATAATTCGACCACTAAAAAATAAATTCAAAAAAAAAAAAAAAAAAATTACGTGAAACGCGATATTAATAGTTAAATCTTTATAAATAAAGTTTATATTTGTTTTTCCAACTCTCTTTACTTTTTCTATTTGTATTCTTATTGACATTAAATACTAAAATTTAAATATTTTAAAATAACTGTATTAAAAAATATATAAATAATATATTATAAACAAAATAGGTCAAAAAAAAAATGGTATCATTACAAATTTGAGAATTTAATGCTGAAGAACCTGAAGGAAAAAAGCCCATGAATTTATTTTGTGTGAAGGTAGAGACAAAAAGGGTATGAAAATATATATATTAAATTCCTTTGAATATATATAATTTAATTTTTAAAGTTATACAACATATCCCTTCAATAAGTATCTTGAAAAAAACCAACAAATAAAAGACAAGTATTCAATCCACCAAATGACCAGCTTACTATTGTAAAACCTCATGTGGGCCTATCAATATTTTACAAGTATATATACATATAAGTAATATTATTATATTGTAAATAAGGAATAATTGTCAAGTGTTTTATGAGCATAGTGACAGATTTCATAAATGTAACAAATTTTTATGAAAAAATTATATATATATGTATGTATGTAATGTGAAATACACTAGATACATGTACTTTGTCTCTGAACTTCTATAAATACAATGAAAATGAATGGACTTCATTGTAACTCAATGAGACTGTTTGGGCTGGTCTCATTTGAGAGAGAGAGAGAGAGAGATATATATATATATATATATACACATAGGTGTATATTAATAGTAAAAGATAATTAGAGTATGGAAAAGAAAGAAAGAAAAGAACAAAAGAACAGAAGCAGAAAAGGATAAAAGAAACAAAATGATGAGGGGAGAGGTGGGTGGGATTTGGAAGCCCAATGCAGAGAAGAAAGCAGCCAAAAACAGTGATGAGATGACAACATTTTTCTCGTTTTGGTAGGGAGGAGGTTTTCACGTAATCTGTGTACTCCACAACCACTCCCCTCCGTATACGTTATGTATATATATATATATGTATATATATACACACACACACACACACACACAATCATATGTATGTATATGCTACAATCTTTTTTAAAAAAAGAAATATACATTTTTCTTTTACATGACACGTCATAATACTGATTATGCGGCAATCATATATGTATGTATATATATATTGTGATGGGTTTACGTTTGGCCATTGATGAATGATGACCACTAGCTATGGCTAGTTCATCAATATTATAATGTGTGTATATATATATATATAGGTGGAGGTGGTGGTGGGGGTGACGATGATTGATGTTGTTAATGAAGATGATGATGATGATGGGTGAGATGAGAGGATGAGGGATGAGGTGCATGATTGGTGGGTGGAGGTGAGGAGCAGCGAATAGAATCTAACGAAGTAGTCATGTGCTTCTCGCAGTTTGTAAGTTGTAAAAAATGACAGCCCACAATATACTTGCAGTGAAGGAAAAGCTTCCTCTCCATCACGTTAATCACGCTACTTCCATCTTCTCTTCAGTTTCCTTCACACCCAATTATCCATCACCACTACAAACAACATATATATATATATATATTTGTAGAATATTATAACTGGGTCCATTCTAGAAAGTAAAAAAGGAAATTGGGAACAAGGTGATATATAAAAAATACATATATATATATATATTGTAGTAGAAGAACATATATAAAAAGAGAGGAGCAAAAGAAACAAATATATAAATGATTGAGAAGAGCTTTCAGGAGAGTTTCTTTTCGATTTTTCTACACATAATATATATACAATAACTTCAGTGAACTTGTTTGTGGGTGTGTATATATTTATGTATGTACATATATGAGCGTGCATGTGATCAGAAAGGGAGAGAAGTTGGCATGTAAAAGCACCAACATGATGTTAAAAGTTTGTCTATTCGGTGTGGGTGCAGGGACCGGGTACCTTTGATAGGAAAAGGATTGAATATATATATATGCATGTATATATTTATACGAAAAAATGAACACTTTAATTAGGTGCACGTAAACCTATAGAATGTTGCACACAAAAAGTTGAAAAAAAAAAACAAACAAACAAACACAGTAAAGGTAGTAGGAGAGATCATATATTGATTGTATATATATATATATTTAATGCCTTGGCTTTAGAATACCTGAATTTAAGAATGTTAACAAATGATTACATAACTGGTGGTATGAAATCACGTAAATCGTAAATTTATTGATCTAACGAGCTGTTTGGACTAAAATAATCAAGCGTCGAACAATTGAAGCTGGCTTCTTTCCCTTACAATATTCATATATGTATTATGTGTAGATTTGAACTTCCATAATTGCTTATAATTAACATATATACGTAGAGGGCAGTAGAGAGATATATATATATATGTATCATTTGCATATTACCATGAAAGAAAGAGATCTAAGTAGCTAGCTAGTGTTAATTCTTTTCAAGAATTGTCCGACTCCCTACATTCTTTTTGGGTGTTAATATTTACATTAAAGAATGAAACTGATAATTAACTTCATAGATGGGATTAATTAAGACAAGAAAGCAACAAATTAATAAGAGAGCAAAAAAAGGAAAAGAAAAACTTTGCCACCCTCTCTCTCTCTCTCTCTCTCTCTCTCTCTCTCTCTCTCTCTCTCTCTCTTCCCCTTAGTCACTCGCAAAGGAGAAGAATCAGAAGGTGGTCAAATTGCTGTCTCTTCACAATTAGCGACGAGAAGGTGATGGCTCACTCCCCAATACCCTAAAAGAGCGACTAACAAGTTCCCCATTTGAATCTAATTTTGTTGAGGAAAAAAAAAATTAAGAATAACTTTAGATGCCAATTATCTGTCTTTCTCTCTCCCAGAATTCAAATGTTGACAGTCTTTCATTCAATGCACTTTGAAGCCACCACTTTTTCAGACACACCACCAAAATCACACCTCACTGGCAACTAATTATTGTGAAGAACCCAATGCATCCCCAACATAACTCAGATCATATCTCAGACCTAAACACTGCAACCCTAAGCAATGCCGACCTGCACCCTCAACATTGTTGTCCACCTACGCTCTGCTTCAGTATAAGCTGCTGACCTGATGAGACTCACAGATTCAGACACTGCCTGCCTCTGTGTGTGTGTGTGTGTGTATATATATATATAACAAATCAAACAAATATCCAGTTTTAAACTTTCATATTCCAAGAACCCGTCACAGATCCCAAAGGTATTATTTGTCACAACTAGCACAAACCTCCTTAATTTCTTTCGGTAGCCAAGATCAAAATCACCTCAATATAAGAGAGGGAGAAAGGGAGAGAGAAAGGGTATAGAGAACCCAAGAAAAAGCTTTTCACTTTCGTCAAAATCTAGTCTTTTTTCTTTTATTGCTACCATAAACACCAGTAATTCTATAGCTGATCGGCTAGCTTCTGCTCCTGCATCTTTTTGGTCTCGTAGGAACATGTAAAGATTTTTGTAAATTAAACAAATAACATCTAAAACATATAACAGATAAAGAACAACACCACCACCAAGAGATTCTCCTCCAACATCTTACTAAAAAACAAAAATATCGAAAAACAAAGAAACATACCCTATTTGATCTGATCCTTTCCCCAACTTCTACATTTTGCATTTAGCAGCAAATGAAAATAAAGAACAAACATATACCTAAAATGGGTTGGATAATATACCACCATATGTATGCTACTTTTACCCTAATATCTTCTACATCTTACTGTTCTGCAGGTAAGTTATACGAATTCTCCACTAGGGTAAAGAACTGTACTGATGCAAGTCATTCCATGCTTGAACTCCGTTCCAGTTGTTTGTGGTATCGTTGGCTGTGCTGTTGGTAGGAGTAGGAGCATAAGAATTCCCAAAGAACCACTCGGTTGCAGTCTCGGAATTTACACTTTCTTTTCTTGAATTCTCCAGGTTGTGAAACAAAATGGGCTGTGGCTTCTCCAGAGGGACTGATGAAACGTTGTCGTTCTCCTTCTGGTTTTCTTCCCCGAAAAGCATCGCTAATCTTTGCTGCTGCAATTTCCAGTGTAAGTCTTGGTTTAGTGAACTCAAAGACTCAATTGAAGATGCCAGGTTGCTGCTGACATTCACCGACCCTCCTGAACCCAAATCATGAATTGCACCGCTGGTAGTGGCGACCGAAGAGAGGGGATAATTGAAGCCCAACAAAGAACTGTTATTGTTACCAGAGCTTCCAGCTTGATGGTGATGATCGAGGCTGAAAGAAGAAGTACAGGTACTATCCAATCCGAAAGAAGAAAACTGGTTATAGAAACCAGTTGGCGAAGGGTTTAGCCTCGGAAGCTGAAAGTCCATGGCTGGAGCGAGACCATGAAAGAACTTGAACCCACCAATCTCCAAAGACGAACCGCCCGAGTCACCAGAAAGCCTTGAAGACGAAGATGATGAAGACTTGATCTTCTTGTTTTTGCGGCAACCACCGCCGATGGGGACGTTGCGGAGAGCTCCGCCTTTGGTCCAGTAGCGCCTGCAAGTCTTGCAGAAATGTCTCGGCTGCGTAAGGCTGTAGTTGTTGTAGTAGCAGAACTTGGTGTTAGGCGAGTCGCATCTCGGACACCTTAGGGTTTGCTCTTGCGGCCTCCCTGATGCAGCTGTACTCTTCCGGTTGCCGGAGCTCTGGCTATCGTGATCTTTGGTGACTGGTTTTGCACCCAGATGATCCGAGGACATGGTTTTGGGAGGTGAGAGAAGAGAGATTTGGAAGAGAAAAAAGGGGGGTCTATGATTTGTTGATTATGAGTTTTTTCCTTTTGCAGAGGCAAATATACTCAATGAATTGAATGGTTTCATGCATGAGGTGGAGAGATGAGAGAGATGATGGCGGCCTGTGATAATCATAATCATCAAAGAAGGGTCTGGGATATGGAAGACACTCATATCTATATATATATATATACCAAGCTGTATATATAGGTAATTAGAGTCGAGATCTGGTAGAATAAAAAAAAAATTAAGCTTCCATGAGAGAGAGAGAGAGAGCAGATCTCACTAGAAAAAGAAGTCGGTATATATAGGAGCAGAAGAAAGAGAGAAGATAGTAGAGACAAAAGAAAGCAGAAAATCTGAAACTGATCTGGCAGAATAGAGAGATCCACAACTTCACTTAAGCATTTGGATATATATATACATAACTACTCTATATATATATATATATATATATTCAAGAATACACATACATTTAAATTAGTATTTAGTCTTCAAAACCAAGAGATTAAAATGGGAATAAATCAAGGTAGATATTACAACAAAAATGGTTGAAAGATGTAACTTGACAGTATAATATGCTACGTATCATTCTTTTTAAAAGTAATATACATATATACGTAATTACAATATTAAAAACAACACATAATTAACTGTTTACTTTTTATTTTGGTTTCATTACAATAAATAATATTCTCTGGACACACAGATCACAGATACATACATATATATATACATATATTATTATAATAATAGATACTGATTAAAATTATGGAGTTAATGATGGATGAATCAATGGAGGTAGCCATGCATTAAAGGCTACGGTAAGGCATTCCAAGAGAGATCAAAGCAACATAAATTGACAGTCCTGATAATAGCAGTAGCAGTATAGAGGAGATACATATGAATATATATATATATATAAATACATATATTATTTGTATATATATGTATAATAGATAGTACTAGCTAGCTAAGGGTTTTGAGTGAGTGTGGCATCGGCAAGAGCAACAGGAGCTGGTGGTGCAGCAGAGAAGAGCAGTGAGGATGTGACAGAGGCAGAGCCACTGCGGCTCTTGTCTATTCCTTCTCCTGTAATGTCCCTTTTAACAAACCTATATTGTCCTTCAATTAATTTTACTGATTTTTCCATTAATTAAATTACTCACAAAACTAATTATACGTATAATTTTATAAAAATTTGTATAGTATTTAGAGATATGAATTTCTAATAAGTAACTGATGAAATTATTCATCCACTAGGACTTCCTAAACTTAACATCATTTTAATTAATTATTATGAGGATCACATGTGTGTGTGTGTGTGTATATATATATATATATATACATGTATGTATATGTGGTGTGAGTCAGAGAGATTCAGATGAAAGTATCCTTGAAACTGGAAAGACACCCATTTCCCACCACAAGTTGTATAGCAGGATCTTTACCAGTGGGGATCATCTTTGTCCTTTCACTTGCTCTGAAATTAACAGTAATGGAGAGAAGAAGAAGGAGAAGAAGAAGAAGAAGGTTCAGACTGTTTGTTTACTGGGAAATTTGACAGAGACGTGTAATAGAAAAGGACAGGTTTTTGTTTGATCTAATTTCCTCTACAGTTGGATTTGCATAGCCAATGGTTATGGGCTACCTCTGTTTCTGAAGCTACACCCAATTGCCAACAAAATAATTAATACACACACACAGATATATATATATATATATATATATATTCATTCTTTCTCCAATTGCATTAATTCCCTCTCAGTTTTATTATCATAGGTCAAATTATGATTATGACTAATCATACTTCAATAATTTTGCTATTATTATTTTTTAAAAAAAATTAATTTTTAATTACTTTAACTAAATTAATTTGATCAACCTCTTTATTTATAAAAAAGTATAAATAATAATTAAATTGCATATATTCACACGTTTTTTATTAAAACATTATATTATAATTGATCTATATATATATATTATTTAATTAATAAAAAATACACATTTTTATTTTAAAAATTATTAAAAAAAATATAAAATCGAATCTCACCAGACTTACTAAATAGATTCATGGGAAGATATCAAATTCCAATTGCTTGATTTTATAAAGATTGAACTCGGACCTTACATAATTAACAACTGGTATTATTATTATCTTCCAATTTTGTTCTTACTTGGCCAATAAGATTATATTACTAGACTAAATTAGACGGGAAATAATTTAATAATCACGTTCTATATAAGTAAGAACTTAGATGAAATCTAAGATCGTATATTGATTACTTTGCCATAGATAAATTAGGGAAAAAGGAGTGTGAGATTAAGGTAATGAATATGGGCATTGATGATGGGGAACAGTACCGCCCAAAGAAGTTGAAGAAACGTGGAGATGGCCTCTGGTTAATTACTAACCAGAACAAGGTCAGGCTATTCCCTCTCTGCTCCCCAGACAACCTGGCTGGCTCATAATCTCTAACTTCTGAGAGGAACACGTGATGGGGGTGGTGGATTCCCATGAGAATCAAACAAATCTCAACCAGAAAACAAGCACAAATTACGTATACCACACACACACAAACACATACACATATATATATATGTATAACCCACATTCTCACTCTTGTCGATATGCCTTATTTCTCACGGCGCCTCAACCAAAATACAGACACACAGACTCTGTTCGTATTATAATAAGAAACAGAGCAGTGACAAAGTTATAATTATAAGGGATATTACACTCTTTTATTTTAATTGTTCAGAAATTTTCATCAATTGCACAAACAGTTTAGTTCGTAGGTTTGAGGGTGTTCCCGATATCAATCACAAATCTGTATCTAACATCAGCCTTGGCCAATCTCTCCATGGCAGTGTTCACATACTCCATTGGTATCACTTCAATGTCTGCTGTTATGTCGTGTTTTGCCGCAAACTCAATCATCTCTTGCGTTTCCTTCATTCCTCCGATGGCGCTACCACCAACTATTTTTCTCCCTGTAATTTTCATAACGACTGTTAATCTATCAAATCGAACAATTGACCTGTAAATTCGCACTTAATACAAGATGAAAAATATATGTACTTGTAAATAAAATGTTACTTACCGATAAGGAGAGGAAAAGTTGGCAATTCAAGTGGTTTTTCTGGGGCACCAACCAGGATAAGCTTTCCTTGAGACTTCAGTAAGCCAAGCAATGGCAAGAGAGGGTGTTGTGCAGACACAGTATCAATTATACCGTCCATTGTTGCCATTGCAGCCTATACATATGCCAACTTATATTACGATTGATGTATATGTATTACATGTAAAAACTTTTATTTATAACTAAACAATACAGATTGAGAGGTTACCTGCATCTGGTCTTGGTCACGGCTGACCACAAAAGAGTCGGCACCAAGATGTTCAATGGCTTCTTTCTTCTTGTTCGATGAAGTACTAATGACAGTGACCTTAACCCCCATAGCCTTGGCGAATTTGACAGCAACATGGCCTAACCCACCGAGCCCAACCACACCCACATGCATGCCAGGCTGGTCGAGTCCATAGTGCCGCAGTGGGCTATACACTGTGATTCCTGCGCAGAGAAGAGGTGCAGCACCGTCGAGAGGAAGGTTGTCCGGGACGCGCACCACGAAGTGCTCGTCGCAGACCATGTGATCGGAGTAGCCGCCGTAGGTGACGGTTCCGTCGGAGTAAATTGTCGAGTAACTGAGGATCATTTTGGGGCAGTAGTTTTCCAGATTGTCCGCGCAGCTGTCGCAGGAGCCACATGATCCCACCATGCACCCAACTCCAACTCTGTCGCCAACTTTAAACTTGTCTACCTGACTTCCCACCTCCGTCACCTCCCCCACAATCTCATGCCTGCATTACTTGATTAATTCATGTATCAGACTTCGGGTAATTTGCAACTTGATTAATTAATGATTATCTAAACTAACACTAAGATAATTACTCAACCAATTTATTTCATATAAACTTTTCTATAGCCTTCACGGTCTTCTGCGTAGACCCATGGCTCAACCCACCAACTCAATGACTTTTGGGTACATACATACATACATACATACATACATATATATATATATATATATATTATATAATACAGCATGTGGGTCGAACGTCGACAAATGCTGAGGCCCAAAAGATGTAAAAGTTGAACTGGGTCGTAATTATTTTGGTCTGGCCTGATCTCGAATTTTATAACAAATAAAAAGAATAAATTTACTTACTATAAATATATGTATATGTGTATTTAATCCAATTATTTCTTTTTTTAGCACAGAAAGCAGCACCACCCTTTCCATGAAGTTTACACATTCTTCTCTAAATATCAACTATTTCAGCGAGAGGCAAGTCTTATTTCCTATCATATAAATGTAGTTAGAAATATATTATAACTATATGTTATATGAGTTAATACAAGGGTAATTTTATTATATAAACTTATTTAATTATTAATATTATAAACTTCTTCCAATAAATTTTAGTGGACATCATATATATAAATATAATATTTTAATTCAATCATCTGCCGTCCTTTTTTTTTTTTTTTTTTTTAAATCACACATATAATATAGTATAAAAAAGAATACAGTATAATATAGTAAAAATTTGAACTATTTCAAGTCTAATTTATTAAATTAAAACTCCAATTTAAATTATGTGTTTTCGTAATTCTTATTATAAACTATAATTAAATTTTTACACATCAAATAATTAAAAATTGTATGAATTTAATAAGAATATGATAGATTTGAACCCATATGG